AGGGATGGAAATTCCAAAGTGTTATTAACAAAAGAAAATTTTTCTTACAAAAAAATATTCTCACAAATACTTAAATCCACAAAATAACTTTCTTAGAAATAGGTTTTCCTCTCTCATAAAAACTTTTCGTCAAATTTATTTCCTCAAGGGTATTTCTTTTCTGACAACGATAAATTGGGTTTTGAGGATAATTTATCCTCACAAAAAAAGTTTATGACGCCAATTTTTTTAGACTATTACCTACGGACCTTTACCCCACGACCCACTAAGGACCGTATTTCGTCAGGATAAAGTTTTAGTGACGAGAAAATGCATTTTGTGACGCCAATCGTCTGGTAACATCTGTCAGTCTTTTTGTAGTGGCTTTAGCTCCAGCTTCGGTGGTTCCTCCAAAGAGGTAGTGATGCGGGGTGAGGATGAGATCGGTTTGAACAGCCGGTCGCCCTCCAGGAATGTGCCACTCTCCAGCGCGGCCAACTGATCCGCCAGCTGCGGCTCCTGCGATGCCTGCTCACCGAGCAAAATATAACACTCAAGAGCATCGTCAGTACCCGCACTCGTTATAGCGAGTGCGGTTTCAAAATCAGCAAGCACATCACAGTAATCTAAGTCATTATGCAAATGGGAGTGTTTCCCATTCTCAGACATAGAAAAAGTAGTATGTTCATCACCAGCACGCATGATCAATTTACCACTATGCACATCAATAAGCGCCTTGGAGGTGGCGAGAAACGGTCTACCCAAAATCAAAGGTACATCCACATCCTCATTTATACCCATAATAACAAAGTCAATAGGATATGTGAATGCACCGATATTAACAAGTAGATCCTCTATGATACCCCTAGGATCCACAATGGAATGGTCAGCTAACTAAATGCTCATCTTAGTAGCTCTAGGTTCACCTAGGTCTAGTTTTTTAAACAATTTGTAGGTCATGACATTTATGCTAGCGTCTAGGTCCGCTAAGGACTTTCCTACATGCATGCTGCCAATAACAAGAGGGATAGTGAAACTCCCTGGGTCTTAACGCTTCTCGGGCAGCTTGTTATGCAGGATGGCAGAACACTCCTCGCTCAGCATCACTGTCGAAAGATCACCAAGTTTCTTCTTGTTGGTGAGGAGGTCTTTCATGAACTTGGCATACTTTGGCATCTTCGACAGTGCCTCCATGAACGACATGTTGATGTTGACCTGCTTCAACATTGTCATGAACTTGGCAAACTCAGTCTCCAACTTCTCTTTATGTAGGCAAGTGGGGAAAGGAAGCTGGGTTACAAGCTCCTTAACCACTGGCTGTGGCGTGGGAGCAGGTGCTTCCTTGTCCCCCCCCCCCCCCCCCCCACTTCTGCATTGTCATCTAGAAGTATTTAAGCAGGTAGTGGCTCTTCCTGCCTGGGCTGGGTAGGAGCAGCAGATGTGGTCTTGCCACTCCTAGTAGTGATGGCATCCAGCTGCTGGTGCTGGTGAGGCTCACGAGGGTTTGGAATAGTGGTGGCAGGCAGAGTCCCCGTCATGAATGCCTGGCTGGTGGTCATGAATGCCTGCAAAAAATTTTCATCTCCGTCATCTGATTATCTGGATCTGCAGTTGCTGGAGGCTGGGCATACTGACGCTGGGGCTGTGGGACTGGCCCCTGTCTAGCCTGGAAAGGCTGCCTCTGCTGAAAACCACCAGCTGGTGCTGGGAAACCAGGTGGTTTAGTGGTGTTACTACTCCAAGCGAAATTGGGATGCTGGCGCCACCCCTCATTGTATGTATTGATGTACGGGTCAAGGCGCCGAGCATTGGCGATGAAGTCCACCTACTCTTGGTGAGTAGAAGACTCCCGCATAGCCTGGCAGTCTTCCACTAGATGATTTGAGCTCTCACACCACTGACATTGAGCTACTGGAGGTTAGGCCAGACCACTGCCCGCAATAAGACTGTTGGGCTGCTTCAATGTCTTCACTAACTCAGCCACCTACTGCTCGAGCCCGGTGGCCAGTGATCCACACCTTTTTGTAAAAATGTTTTGAGAACGTTTGTCATGTGCATACTAACTTCTTATGTAGTGTGAGATATCCACAGGAGTGGAAAGTTGATGATATGTGTATATTTGTGTAATTGTGTAAGTTGTGATGATTATGGCATGTATAAGTATGGTATGCAGTTGTGGAGTATATAAACTGTGACTATGGCTATGAAAGCCAATGGTTGTGCGTATATATGTATGTCTACGAATGTAGGAATTCAGATGAATTATTTTGCAGGATAAGTTGCAAGAATTGTTAGCCCATTACGCGAGTAATTCATGTCAAAATTTTATTTGGGTAAATTTTGATAATTAATGTAACACCCGAGATTATTTCCGTTGCAATTGTATGAACAATATGATTAGGCAAAACGTATAGGGTAGGGTGTTACAGTTTGGTATCAGAGCCCGGTTCCCTCTTTTTGTTGTTATGACGTACTATACCCTATGGGAGGTTAAACACTCCTAAGGAGGGGAGTACCCCATAATGACTTAAACTGGGAATTGAGTTTTACATGATTATGTGTATTGGTATGTTGGATGAAATTACCTGCATCATGGTTTTCAAAATTGAGTTTTGAATTTATTTGTTTTCAAGTAATGATTTTGGGAAAATTTTGGTTTTAACCAAGTGAAAGAGTGGGTAAAGAATGAATTTTGTGTGGATCAATCGAATGCCAATGTTTCCTTGTAGTTGCACAGAAGTACTTTTAGTGTTACTACTAACTGATCGAGAAGCATGGTGCCTAGCTATGCAATGCAGTTGATCTTCGACTATGCTAACATGATGAGTTGTTGTGGTAGAGTTTTAATATGGATATGATTTTTGATGTTGTAGTGGCTAGGTTAACAATCTTGCTTAGTAAGTTATGTTTTGAACTTGTTGATGTGCTTTTGTTGTGATAACCCGTTATAGGTTTGAAACCTAAATATGGGAACTTGAGGTGATATGTGCTATGTACTTCAGATCCCTTAACCTAAGAGTTGGGTAGTAACAAGATATGTGGTGGTATAAGTTAGGAGGGTAACGTAGGGATGCGTTTTGTCAACTCAAGGTTAGATTTCGGGGACGAAATCATTTTAAGGAGGGGAGAATTGTAACATCCTGTTTCGGCTAAACCCATATTTCGATCGCTAAGAATTTCACGATTTAAAAACAAGCATTTTGATAGTATTTCGGCGAAAATCGGAATATCGATCGATCGGATAAGTATATGTATTATATATATATGGCAAAGGCTAGTGTATATCAGCCATATATATATATATAAATGGTCTAGAAACAAAAGTGACCGAAACACTTTGTTTTCCTACTTTATATATATTGTTAACTCCCCCCCCCCCTCTTGTCCATTTCCATCTTCTTCCTTCTCTGTAAAATAAGAACCGAGATAAAGTTTTGAGCAGGGGCGCGCAGGGGAGGGAGCAGAATAATTTCCAGAGCTCAAATCTTGAGCTTTAGTGATCAAAAATCCCTTAAGTAATGCCTAATTCATCTATACATCGTGATTTATCGATTTAGAGCTTTAAAACGAGTTTTGATTCAGGAATTTCTTGAATTCCCGATAAGCCAAATTAGGGTTTCGGAGGTTCCGGAAGCCGGATTAAGCCCAGATTTCATATACGAGCTTCCTGCAGTGAGGTAATTAATCCTCTGGTTCTAATCCATGAATTTCGGCTATTATTTAGGCCGGGGTCCAAATCGCTAAATTTAGCTCCGGCCAGGGTTTGATGTGTTTTTATCGAGAATTTGATCTGGAGCCTATAACTAATATTGACGGGGATACTGCAGGAGATATTAGGACGGTCTCGGATTTTAATTCGGGGTTCCTTGGTGAAAATGACATTTTAGTACGGGAAGGTTAAACCGGTGTTTGAACGACCAGAACTAGTGAGGGATTAGCATGGCATACCGGGTTTGTTGTATCACGATAATTATATTGATGCTTAGAATTGACCTAGGTGAACTAGAATGGCATGATTAGGGGTGTACGAACTTTTGTGCTATATGTTGAACCCTAGACTGCTGTATGATATTATTGACTTTCCCTAATCGATATGGACCTTGTTTATGCTGATGATTGCATGCATGTTTTCATTTGTGGCTTAATTGTTGATATGACTTCGTGGTTGTTCGATCAGGTGTTTTGACATGATGTGATATTGTGGTTGTATTTGGATTCACAAGTGGGGGAAATAAACTTCCCAGGGTGATATTATGATGTTTAAGGAGGATGACTTGCACGAGAGTTTATCCCGAGGAAGTGCAATTATACGACTCCTGGTTATGTTGAGCCAATTGTGGCCAGGTCAAGAACATGTCCAAGTAATGAATTATGATTAAGCAAGATGAGATATGGATCATGTATAAGGATATCAAGTAAGAGTACTTTGGTCTCACGGTCAACTACATAGTAATTAGGGCTCCCTATGCTATTACTCTATTATGATATGTATGATAGTCACACCTCTCATGTGGTGGTGACTGAAGATTTCTTACGAGATATGACCACACCCAGAGGGGTGTCGGGGTATGACTACACCCATAGTGGTGTGGGGTATGTATGACCACATCCGACGGGATGTAGGGGTTGAGTCAAGGTGGTTGAGTCTTTTTCCCATTGGGATATGAGGATGGCTGGGTCTGATCCTAGTGTTTTGACTTGATTGCTAGATGTATGGTAGGGGTATGCTTTGTTATGAACTCACGATGCAATGATTGTCTCACTCAGCCATGAGTTGACCCTCTTTTATTCTTCTTCTCTGCTTATGCTATGTGTAAGTAGATCATCAGCAGTAGATAGGTGTATAGGTGGGAGCTGAGCTAGAGTTGAAGCCAAGATGAGGTATGGTCTTCAACTATTCTGTGTTTGGACGACTACTTGAGATTTCACGGTCCAGGGAATTCCTGCCTCTGGTGCTCTGCCCCCAGGAATGATCTCTGGCAGCCAAGGTACTAATCATCTGGTTCAGTACGGGTGGAGTCTTAGTAAGAATATCCCCTCCTGGGCATAGAGACTCAATCACCCTCTAGCTTTCCGGAGAGAGAGCACTGTAGAAGTTCCCCATGGTGAATGCATCACTGAAGCCATGATGGGGACACTGCCAGAAAAATCTCATGTACCGCTCCCATGCATCACGAAGTGACTCGTCTGGCTCTTGGCGGAAGTGAGTGATCTCCCGCTGGATCTCTGTGGTCTTCGATGCCGGATAGTACCTGTGCACCAACTTGTTGGCCAGATCGTCCTAAGGAGTGATGGACAATGGGGGCTGGGTCTCCAACAACCTCTTAGCATGCCCCGCCAGAGAATAGGGGAAGAGGTGAAGGCGGATTGCATCATCGGGTACACCATTCACCTTGAAACCGTTCGCCAGCTGTAGGAAACGGGAAAGATGCACCCTTGCCTCCTCATCCTTCAAGCCATGAAACTGGATAGAGGATGTAATGAGTTGAATCCAGCACGACTTGATCTCGAAGTTGTTCGCTGGAATGGGCGGATAGAGGATGACAGGGCGGATATCAGCAACTCGTGGAGTGTAGTAGTACTCCAAGGTGGGACCCGGCAGTGGTGGTAGTGGATGCTGAACCCCATCTACCTGGGGTATGGGGTTGTTCCCCAAGATCTGATTCACTGGGGGAACCTGGAGAGGTATCCCCTGGGGCGTGTTATGGTCTCCTTCCATCTCGTACTCCTCCTCGGACTCGCTGCTCAAGTGGCCGTCTATGCTCTCCTAAGTAGCCAGTCTAGCTCGCTGTTGGCTCCTAAGTTGGCGACAGGTGCGTTCAAGCTCCGGATCCAATGGCAGTAAACCTCCTGACTGGCTACGGGTCATGCACTACCTGCACACAGTCAAGCAGCAAACCCGTGACGGCACAAGTGTGACCCGAGTTCGGTCCCCGGCAACGGCGCCAAAAACTTGACTCGCTCCTACCGTCACTCTAAAAAATGGCTAAGTGTAACCACCTCCTAAAGCGTAGTATAGCGGGTTTGGGTTTTAATGTCAACCCGGGTCCTAGATGTGATGATTACTCCGTGCGTTCTTATTATTTAGCAGTGAAACTTTAGTGAAGGTCCAAACAAGCAAGCAAGTAAAATGATTGTTTTCAAGTCGAGAGAGGTCACCCGAATATGGTTCCCCCTAGACTGCAGTTAAGCCGGATTGTAATTTACCAAGTTCAGTTTCAATGATATTTAAACTGTGGGAGATTCTTAACCAGTCTGAAGTCTCGACTAAAGGTCTCCAGACCCTCTCAATCTGAGTCTCCATCAGGCGACTAACCTCCACCGGAGTAAACAGATTGAGGCCCTAATGAACCAAACCTCCACTACCGAAGTGAATTCGGTACAGGATAGTGAATTTACTTCTCGACTAAAGTCGTCAATTTACTACCTTCAATCAAGGGTGCTCTATCAACCTAGGTAGATATTCTCTTTCTAGGTTAAATCAGAAACAAGAATTTGATCAGGATTCATGCCATTCAATAAATCAAACCTCAATTGAATATAATCATATCACGGAATCTGTACTTGGGTTCATACAATCAGACCTAACATACAAATCTAGGGTTCTTCATACCCAGGTAAATAAGAAAGTTACTCCATAGAGAGAGATGGGAGATCTAGCTCAGATGCGGAAACCATACTGTGAAGGATGAGAATCTGCTTTTGGCACTCAATCAGGTCTTCTCCAAGCTCAAGTCGGGCTCCAATAGTGATACAGATCAATCTATGACACTTGCAGGATCAGTTTCGTCACTTTTTCTCTCTAGGTATCACTCTTTCTCTCTAAAACTAGGAACCCCTCTCTTTTGCCCTTCTTTTCCCTTAAGAAGTTGTCTGTCACGATCCCCGGCCTGAATACCCGGTCGGGTATTTTGGGGTGCCGACCGGGCATTTTCAAAACGCAGCGTCTGGAGACCGGGTATTTTATTGTCACAACCAGGCCCCCCTCTGCTTCTCAGACGCCCAAAAATCCTTTTCCCCGGTCTGCTCCAAATAATACCCGGCCGGGTATTTCTGCTCATGGCTGGGTATTTTGCTCCTCCAGCACACTTCGACCCAAACGTGCCTCTATCGACCCGAAACTCGTTTCTTCGCCTCGATGCCAACGCTAAGTCCTGAAATATGACATAAACGCACAACCTAGCGTGAAATTGGCTTGAAACATGAGAATCAACATCTCAAACGGCTCAAGAATAGGGGTAAAAACATGTGTAATTATTGGTCTATCAACGAGCCATCCGAAGCTCCTGGAAGTTGCCCAACATCAGTGCCAGAGCTCCATCTTCACGGTTGGTTGACCATGATAATGATCCGTTGAGTGTGATCTTCGTCTTTTGTCCATCCTTGCTTCATTTCTGCCCTCTTTTGTTGGATTTTTAATCCCAGAGCTAATTCCACCAGCTAAGATCTGAAATATGCTAAAACACGCACTAACCTAGCATAAAATTGCTCCTTGGACAATGAAAATGCCATAAACATCTCAAGATAAAAGGGTATAAATATGTGCGATTACACCCGAATCACTAACTTAAAGACGATTACATATAGTTTTATGTAAAAGATCAAGAAAAAGATTCCCAAAAGGCTAGTTTAAACATGTTACACAGTACAAATCTTCCTAAAATGCTAGCTTCAACTGAATTGACTGCTACTTCTTTAAAGGTCTTCTTCCCACAAGTTGCACTTTAATAACACCTAAATTAGTGGTATTTAGCCTTTATACGTAGGTTCGCTTCGCACTAATTCGTGTTCATAATAAGAAGAATATCATCTATTGCATCCCTATTTTGTTCCTATTTGATTATGTTGTGATTTTAGGGTGCTTTATACGATACCTGTGAATTATGTACGAAAAAAAGACACAAGTGTAGTGAAATGGGCAGGAAGTCGATGATCACGACCTGGAGGACGAAGATCCTGACAGAAACAACAGACCATGAAACAGAAGTGAAGATCACGTCCTGAGGATCAAATTTCGCGGCCACGAAAATGGAGCTCTTGGGCACTAACTTCATGAAGAAGCCAACCGAGAAAGAGCAGAAAGTTTTGACAGTTTGATCATGGTCACCGTCTTTCCTTATCGTAAGAAAATTTGTGTTCGTGACTCACGGATCGCGATCGTGAAGCCACCCCATGAACTCCCCAAATTTGAATTCAAAACGACCCTACTAAGATCACGGGCTCGAAGGAGAAGATCACGACCGCGATCTCTAGCTGCTCCACCGTGAACTTGTTCGCCCCGTAAAGTCTATAAATAGAGGACCTCTTCCCCCATTTCAAGAGAGCTTATTTTGAGATATAAATTTCTAGTTTAGAGAGAGAGAGAGAGAGAAGACAAAGAAGTTGAAGGAAGGAGCCATCTTCCTCAACATCAAGTCTTCTCCAAATTCTTCCATGTATCTTCTTCCCTCCTTTATGGAGTAGTCTCTTAAGGTACTAGGGGTTTTAATGCCCAAAACCTAGTTCGAGGGCTATTATGTAATGATTGAATATGTTAGGGTTCTGAATGAATGTGTTTGTCTAGTTGATTTTAATGCATCATCTAGCTTTAATTATGCATGGGTAAGTCACCCTAATCTTCTCTACTAGCTTACTTGAGCTTTTACGTTGGGTACAGAGTTTTAGGGTCATACGGGTATGCGCCATTTGCCAAATTAAGGTTAGATGAATGAATAAGGTCTTGTGGTGGTGGAGGCGACAATACCCTTGCCACCCGAACTCCTTCCTAGATGGAACCCGAGATAAAACCTCAGTGTGGACGGTGGGTTGTACCCATTGAAAAGAGCTAAGTTCTTAAAGCACCCGATAGGTGAGCCTATATGGAGGTGACAATGGGGTAAGTAGGGCATACTCGGAGGCGTGTGGAAAATCACGAAGGCTCACAGAAAAGAGCCCACTCACCACATTCACTTAACCCAACATATTTAGACATTTGCATGATAGACCTAGTCTAGGGTGAGGGTTAGTTCCCTGAAGTACGTACTTTTATCCTTGTTATTTCCCTATACTAGTTATTTCACTCAAATCTCCAACACAAACCCTTAAACCATTCGACTAGATAACAACAACGTGGGAAGTAGGCTAGGGTATCGGGACCCGAGTGAATAAGACCTTGATTTCCATTATATGATATTGCCATTTTAGGTTAAACTTGTCCTAGGATGGAGTAGTTATTGACACGTGCAAACTATTGACAATGACTTGCATGAAATAAATCAATTAAGCTTTTTGGCGCCATTGCCGGTGAACCTCCGTAACTAGTAGAAAATCATTGAGTTGTTAGTTTAGCCTTTATGTTCGTTTTTATATTATATAAATTTAGTATTTTTCATCGTTTTGTGTTTTGTTATCGAACTTTGTACATCACGGGTTGTTGAGTTTGTGTCTTGTAGAACTCTTGTACGGGAAGGAGGGACTCTTTGAAGATATTACCTCTTGATACATAAATCGAGGGAACCCTTGGGAATCTAAGAAGATTTGCAAGACATCAACCTCCTCCAATGGCGGACCATCAACATTAAGTTCCCCCAAGGCTTAGAACAATGGTATCTTATTGAAGGCAAAATGAGGATACTTTTCAATCCCAAATTCTTCACCCACCTGTGCCGAACAATAACTATGGGATAAATCCGGCCACAATTTTGATGCTTCAAAGTGTGGTTCAATTCAGTGGGATGATGAGTGAAGACGGTTACGCACTTATCACGCTGTTCTACAAGTTGACGGAGGGAATTAAGATAAACGAGGTTCCTCAAGAGGCAATCTGTCTGAGTTTATTCCCGTTTACCTTAAGTGGAGCAGCAAAACAATGGTTGAATACCATCCCCATCACTCCATCACCTTGTGGGAGGATCTATGCGACAAGTTTTTTCAAGATATATTTCACCCTCTAAGACGACCTCAATGAGAAGCGAGATTAGTATGTTCCGTCAATAGGAAGATGAGCCATTGTGTGAAGCATGGGAAAGGTTTACCTCACTTTTACTCAAGTGTCCACACCACGGAATTTCCGATTGGTTTCAAGTGGAAAGCTTCTATAACGGTTTGACAAGAGAGTCACGGAACCTCATCGATGCGACTAGTGGAGGTGCCATTAGGAACAAGGAAGTTGGTGAAATTCAAAGACTAATTGAACAGGTGGCCCTAAATAGCTACGATTATGGTGACAGAAGGCGAGGTAAGAATGTGAAGAAGGGAAGCCTATTAATTATTGAACAACCATCTTCGTTAGAGGCTCATATATAAGAAATTTCCAAGAAAATTGATCAAGTTGCATCATCTATGAAAGGCAATAGAAAGAAACTAATGAAATGTGATTGGTGTGGTGATTCGCGTAACACTATGGAGGAGTGTAAGTCTATGATTGAGGCTTCCCTTCAGTTTGAGAAAGCCAACTTTGTTGGAGGGAAATCACGAGGGAACAACCCATATAGCTGTACATATAATCCAGGTTGGAGGATCCATCCCAACTTTCTTTGGTCTTCTCCAACGGATACAAAGCTTCCGGGGTTTCAACCTCAAGTTCCTATGAAAATTTTTTATCCAAGACCAAGTCAACTTTCATACCGAGGAGCTTATCAAGATCAAGGTCGACCCTACAACTGTCGAGTCTCTAAACTTGAATAATTGGTAGGTCAATGTGTTACAAACACCCCTAAGAAGTTTGATGCTATTGACAAATTTTCAAGTTTGGAAGCTGGTCAAAGGAATCAACAAGCTTCGCTTCAAAATCTTAAAACCCAACTAAGCTC